CCCTCGCCTAAATTCACTACGTTCAATTACCCACCATAGACTCTGGTCAGTCAAAATGACTATTTTGAACTGTAGGCAGAGTAAGACACCGATAGGTGGCGGGTTTTTCCGAGCAAACAAAAAAAATGATGAAAGTCTTTTCCCAATCCGGGGTGAAAACAAACACAATACCCTAGTTAAGACCCAAAAAAGGGTGGTATCTTATCTTGCCTGTGCTGTCCCCGGAGCAAGAAGCCAAAATGCTGCTACGATGACAGGGTTCGGTGTGCCCGAGAAAGCCAACCCAATTCTGGGGGGGAAGTAAGCTTTCGAAGTAAAGACCGAAACAGTTCTGCATGAGGGCATAGGCCGTAAAGCGGGACCTGGGAGCTTCCAGGGGAGTGCTGATGGTAGAGAAATCTGCTCGCATAAAATGCCGGACTGACTTATTGCCTATGCGCAGGGACCCAAGCAGTCGTTCAGGCTGGGTCAGCAAACTAAGACTGACCTGCTACGACGGGACCCAACCTAGAGAGACCCTTTTCAATGGATTCGGTGTTTCTTAGGTGGTAGTTGATAAAGACGATCTGCGTTCTCCAGAAGCCTGCCCTCCATGTGTGCTCGAGGAGTTAGCAATCGCACAGACCTCGTGCTCTCGTACTTGGTGTCTCTGCAAACTCTGTGTCGAGGAAGTTAAAGTATTCGCAGTAAACCACCTGGTTATGGAAGTTGGGGAGGCCGGCCTATCCTGCCTGCCTCGTTCCAAATCCTTAGTATGGTTTAGTGGCAACTCCGTGCTCAAACCGAGTAGAGAAGCAATTCCTCCTGACCCTTCGGGCAGACAAAATTTGACAGCCGGGGGATGACGATTGGGTGAGGATCGTGTCCTGGGATTTGGTTCTAGGCGAGTAACCCGATTCGTGTCTTTAGCACAACTTGATTGTCCATAACGACGGTACATCATCCGAGAAGGACAATGCCCTCAGTTCTGAGGCGAGGGCCAGTAGGAAGACTATTTTCCCTGTCAAAAATTTGAGTGGTGCTGATTGGAGAGGCTCAAAGGGCGGTCTGCTAGAGCAGACAACACAGCTGACGAGTCCCAGTTGGGCGGCTCCCTTGTATGGGGTCTTGGCGTCCAGAAAGCAGTAAATAGTCTCCTAATAATAGGACAATCGGCTAGTCTTGTCCCCGTACGTTTTGAGTGGGGGGGGACAAGACCGCCCTGTAGCCAATGATCGCTGCGTAGGACAAACCCACTTCGTCAAACAGGTGGACGAAGGAGCCTGCCACCTGGCCAATAGAGGGATGGTATGGATCAATCTCCCTTCCGCTACACCAATCAGTGTATGCTTGCAGCATAGAAATGTAGGCCACATTGGTGGAATCCCTGTTCGCCCTGGCCAGGACGTTGGCAGCCCGCTCAGATAAGGCTTTCGTATGTGCGGGTCTACTGAGAGCCTCTATGTGTGTAAGTGCTGGGCTCGTTGGTAGTGCACCATCTGGTTGGGACGGCAGGTCTAGTAAGTCCAGAAGCACTGCTGGTGTTTCGCCTAGCATTTCCAACAGAAGTGGAAACTAGGCCTTGCTTGGCCAATCGGGTGCAACCCGTGATAATATGCGGGTGTGCACATGTCAAAGTTTTCTCCGGTGCCAAGTGAACAGGAAGGGAGGAAAGGCGTACACAACTAAGTGGGTCCACAGGGTTAGCAAAGTGACTCTGGCCCAGGCTCCTGGAGTCAGCAGGAGTGTTACGTACGTCAGGAGCTTGGCGTTCCGGGGTGCGGCAAACAGGTCCAACCTTGGACCGTCCCACAGCCTGGAGGCTACCCACTGGGGTATCAGCCACTCCGTGTTCCGGAGACAGAGCCGTCCTGAAAGGGCGTCGCCAGACTGTTCCTTACCCCTGGAAGGTGGTGTGCGGTTAGCTCCACATTGTATTTGCATTTGCTCCACCAGGACTGACAACGATGGGGAAGGCCCCCCCTCCTTCTTGAAGGAGACCACCGCTGCGTTGCCTGTGCGGAGCAGGACTCTGTGGTCTCGAACTACGGGTAGAAAGCGTGGAGTGCTAAGTACACTGCTCTCAGTTCGAGCCGGTTGATATGGTAGTCCCGAAACTAATGAGGGGGCCATATCCTTGGGCTTGTTGGTCCAATAGATGCGCTCTCCAACCCTGGGGGAGGCATCTCTTGCCCGAGTCATACCTGTGGCGTGCGGGTCCAAGGGGCACCCCTGTCTGAGGTTGGCCAGTGACGACCACCAGGGCAGGGCTTCCTTCACTTGGTCCGAGTACGAAACCCGCCTATCTAGTTCCCATAGAAGAACTCGCTGGGTGCATCGATGATCGATGATACTCGGCCTCACCCCGAAAGCGTGGCTCACCGAGTCATACAGATGGAAGACTGAGGGCCCACCCAGAGTACCGGCTGTATCCGACGCGAGCGAACTGCGTCCTCTTTCACTTTAAATATATGAGAGGGAGAGTGTTCGACTGTGCGTCTCATAACAGGGTTGGTTCCCTCTGGGGACGCTTGTGGGTCTGTAAGAAAGGAGTCAAAACCAACAGCGGAGATCGGACACAAGGATAAATTCGTTACCGTTGTACCGGGTGACGAACCCTAGCTGGCTGAAAGTGGGGGGGGTCAACGTGTGCCCTGCCCTGAAATCGGAGGCTTGGCTGCCAGCACTCCGTTGGCATTCAGTGCCCGAGGCTCCAGAGTAGGCCCGGTGCAATTAGCCTGAGCCTCGGCCTCCCCCCAAAATAGTGGGAGAGCAGTGACTGGGAACGGGTTTCCCGGAAGAGACGTGTTTGAATGCAAACATGCTTTCGTGTCTCTTCTTGCTTGCCCACAGAGGGGACACAGTGGAGACAGCTTGCTCCGAAATCTCAGGCATCAGAACTCCAGTGAAAAAACACACACCTTCACGCAAAAACCCTGCACGTAGCTATGACAAAGTATCGCGGATGCAGGTTCTATGCTGGTAAATTCTGAATATAACCACTGCACAGTTGACTTGAAACACGAGACCGGAAAGAAAACGGCAGCGAACCCTGGTGCTGTCATTACATCTATATATTGCTAAATACATTGCAAATAAAAGACGACATGCATGAGGGAAACCAATTACAGTTGTAAAAGGTGCCGCCATGAAAACCAACATGTGGTTATGTAGTGGCGCTGGGTTTTAATTTCTTTGTTGTGGAAAAGCATAACACACAAAGGGGAAAACGACACGAGGGTAAAAAGACAAGAAAAACTTATCCTACCAGCTAGAATGTCAGATGCCGCGGCTGCGGTAACGACCCACGCTGGAAACCCGGACAGGAAAAGCAACAGAGCCAGGCAGAGCCGCTCAGAATCATTCCCCGATGAGGCGGAGAAAAATTAAGAGTGATTGACGGCTACCTATGGCGCTGCCATGTGGCCTCGGTCACGTGGGTTCGCGACGTAAGGGGTAAAAGAATATTGAGGTCATGGGGCTTCCCCTGACCTAGATTCTATCTCTCCGTCACCGGCAGAATCACTGATTAATGCCTACAGTTCAAAATAGTCATTTTGACTGACCGGAGTCTATGGTGGGTAATTGAACATAGTGAATCAGTTGAGCAAACATTATTTAAATATTTGGAGATAAGTTTATTTTGTCTGAAGAGCAAGATATAGTTACTTACTGTGTTGAGATTTTTCCAAGACCACTCTTGTCCATTCACTTGTAAATGTAGTTTTTCTGTCATTATCTGTTCTGTGTCACCGTAGTCTAAATGGGTTAGGTAAACTGAAACAGAGAATTTAGACAGCTTTGGTTTACTATGGCACAAACTATTGTTGAATCCAATTAATAACCATAATTTGTGTTACAAATTCAGACTAGGAAACAAAAAATCAGTAGCAACGCATCTTGGGATCATCTCTTTTTTCAACACGACATAATAACGATGCAGATTGCCATTTTTGGAATATTATTCTTCAGATAGGGGGTGCCAGGCAGGGTAATTCTTTTTAAAGCCATTGTCACAATCTCTTTTGCATTTTATTTTGAAAAAATATGCTAAAAAGAATGCTTTTTGATAGGTTACTGTCAAATGGTTAAATTAATCAGGTGAATGGATGATTTTAGCACTTGTGCAGCATTTAAGACCCTGCTTTTGATTCACAATGACGCTGATTAACAGGTTTATTTGAATGGATTTCACGGTCAAAACATTACAACTATGAGTGCATTTCAGTGTTATTAAATTGTTGTCATAAACACCGTTAGTCGAAACTCTCAACTAGGAGGGCAGTTTGTAATCAGGATGTGGTTAACAATAAGATACTATACGATCCTAAGAGTGTGTATAAAGTGTTGTTATACATTGTCTCAGCAGACATATGAAGTAGTCATCTGAGATAGCGTGCACATCATTTAATTTTTGCAGTGGGAACGCCAAAAGCACTACTGACACAGTGTTATGGAACTGAATAACTGCAGCACATGTACAATTTGCATGTTTTATAACTAATATGTTAGGATCACAAAATGTGCATAATAAAAAGGATGAATCAGAAGTGGTTGATGACAGAAACACAACAAGACAAAACAAGACATAAATGTGTACTGAAAAAGATCTTCCAACTGATACAGTTGTCTAATGGCAGCAAAACGAGTAAAAACATTGAAATGAACTTGACCTGAATAAAAAATATTCCCTTAAGATTTTGCTGTGATGTCATGAAATGAACAAATCTGACAGAAGACCACCCTCGGTAGCTGTGCTATAAAATAGCAAGGTGATCTAGTTTAAGGTTTGAGAGAAGAAGTTGCTTGAATGAAAGTTTGATGGACGATGTACTACAGGTTCAGTCAACCCATGAGCTCCGCTCGGTAATCTTCGATGACAGCAGAGCTAAATATTGACGTGCATATGCAAGTCATCATACATTATCGTTATGTTAAGTTTGAACGAGCCCGGTCTAAAAAATGGCTCTGAACACACGCAAAGATGAACTCTAAATTAATAGTCCTCGATTTCGAACTTCATCTGAAACGGGAACTAAAAATGTATTGTGCATTACCTATTTGTGAAGTTTGAATGAAATTGCCAAGAACAGACAAATACATTATTTTCAGTCATTATACACCAAAAATTACCTTTTTTTAACTAAAATATCCCTAAATGTGCATGAACCATAAAGAAACTTGCTGAGCGGCTGCATAATGCGTTTCAGATTATACAACTCTGACGGACAGACAGAACCAAATTCATGAGCCCAATCTTGGACTCATGTCCTGTGGCAGAGGCTAATGAGCAATGTTCAATACCAACAAAAATATTTACCTAACGTTTCCCTCATATTTTTATATAAATTAATTGAATCAGTATCTTTCATAAATTCTCTCACAACTTCTCCTTGATCATTCTCCACAACTAGAACTTCTTCTGGTTTGGCCATTCGTGATATCATCACACGCCGTACCTGTAAATGACAAACAATTTATGAAAGAAACTCAAACAATATATAGCAGTTAATAAACAAAAATTAACACAAACATTAACTCACCCTGGACAAAACGGGGTTGTACAACTGTCTTCTTGCAGGCATTTCACTGTTCTGCTGACCAAGCAAGAATGGTGTTGACGAGAAAGGACTTTCTCTATAGAGTTCAGATGCAAGACTGTTCCAATATTCCAAGCAAATCTTGAAGATTTCAGTCTCTTCAACCTCTGATATTAGAACCAAGTACTGCAATGACTACAAAGAAAAATGTATTTATTTCAATTGTAATACTGTACTACTTGCTCTGGAGAGCAAACAAAATATTGGGACAATCGTTTTGCATTTCTTTTGCCCTTCAATATATTTAAAAAAAAAAAATATTTACCCAGTTTTATTCAATTTATAAATAAATAAAATCAGTGCACAATCAACATTTTTAGGTTGAGGAAGTATTTGGTTGATTACTATTCTTGACTATATGCATGGTATTATAAGTATAAGTACATGTATGTAGAACAGGATTTGTGTTGAAAATAGCGTAATGAAAATGAAAACGCCAACCATTCTTCATGTGAATTTTAAATTTACTTATAGTATCACTCTAGAATATTTGGTCTTCAAGACTACAATTAGGCTAAATTAACTCTGATACTAAACTACAAATAATAACTTGAAACTGAATGTGTTGTCAGTTGCTCCGATGTTGGCAACATGAAGTCTGGGTGCATCACGAGTGTATTAAAACAACCTTTATTTGAAGCAAAAAAAAAAAACATTCAAAGCAATCCCTGTATATTTACTATAAATGTTGACAAAAACTTACCATAGTGTAGCAGCATTTACATAAAAATTATTGTTCGAAGAAATACTGAAACGATAGTTGTAGTTACTGTTCCCTATAGCCAATAGCCTATGCGAAAGTGGTAGACAAAAATGTTACACAAACCTCCATTAATGACGCATGTAGGTCTTGCTTTCTCTCAATTAACTGACTGTGCTCTTTGAGGAATGTATAGAGGAAAAGACTGAGATTTTGAATAAAGTTCTGCTCATCATCTCGTCCATTAGCATACGCATCTTTAAGATTTGTTTCAGGTGGCAGCATCTGGAACAATTAAACGAGTCATTGTAAACCATTCTTAATATTCCTTGTCTTGACGTTTTTGAAAAATGAGTAATGGAATGGGCCTCCTCTGCACCAATCGATGCGTGTCTGGTAACCATGCCAGTTCTCCACACAAGTTTTATCAACTGTTTTTCCAGCTGTGCTCATAAGCCCAGCAACTCGGTGAAAAATACGTAAGCTTACTTGTTTTAGTTGGGTCATTGTTAGCGTGAATAACATAACAAACTGCTCATCATACTGATTGACATGGACACCAGCAATTTCAGTCAAGCACTTCAACGTCACATTGCGGAACATGGGTACATTGAGAAACTGTAATAGAAATACACATAACATTTGATTAACAAGGTAACTGATTGATGATATATGTTCAGACAGCATAGAGCTTATAGTTCCAGGGAAGTGTTAGGTTTTTGTACTAGAATTAGTCATCTGTGATGATCATTCATAAAAAGACTTGTGCAAAAGTCAATAAAACACCATCCGCGACAGTATTGTGATGTTACTATTGGATTACTATCATGCTATAAAGTTATTTGAACACAAAGCTATATATTCTGATTATCTGAATTATTTCAACCAGTTTTTTCACTAATCATAAAAACAATGACAAAATAGAGAACTTTGAAATACATACCTTGTATACAAGTGTTGTAATGAGCTTTGTTTCAAAAATATAGCCCAAGGGTATCCAGTTGAGAAATCTGAGTAGGGTATGAAGGGTGGACCCTACCAATGGTGCATTCTGAGAATTATCCTATATTGAATAAACACATTTATTAAGTTACATAATCATTAAGTGTACAAACAAATCCAATGGCTAGAAACCATACCTGTATACTAGTATATCAATTGTTACATTTGATACTTAATAATGGCAGTGAGTAAATAAAGATCATTGATAAAGCAAACTTATTACCAATGCAAATACACAGTGTATGTAGACAAAAATTCATGTACCAAGTACCAGCCAAACTCATTTTCTCAGGTCATTAAATGATTGTAGAATAACTGCAACTGAGGTACCGTAATACAACATGAAATAGGAACCAATGATGAATCTTACCATGACAAACTGGCAAAGTTGAAATATCTGTGAAAATTCAGTGCACATACTGTCTTTCAAATGTTTAGCTTTGGTTTGAGTCATTTGTCCACTAGAGAAATCAAACACTTCCTCACTGAAATAGAAAAATTGTAATAGAAGGTCACTTTATGATTACAAACATGAAACAGGCCAACAGATCAAATGATTTTAGTATACGTTGCAATAGAAACATAAGCATTCTTCTCCCCGATAACAATTTTAAACAATCAATTGCAGTCAAACCTGTATATAGCAACCATGGTCTTTATATAGAGGTTGGATGATTTTATATGGATTACAAATACATTTGACATAATAAAAAAAATGAGGTAATTTTGTTGCAAGAACACAAATACTTGAGTTGAAACAAAATGCTAATTATTATTCTGGTCTTTAAACAAAGATGAATCTGCAAAAATATTACTGAAAGGGCAGTCACATGCTACAGGTGGTCTTTATACACAGGTTGTTAATACTATGCCTTGGGACTGCTTAATAGTGCTTACAGTATTCTCCACAGGATTTTGTTAGCAAAGGGACAATAAGAAGAAAATGCATTTGTTGATTGATACTTTTGGTACAGAATGCAGTTGCAAGCTTCCATAAACAAGAATTGAAAATTGTGATTTTGTACCACAAGCGAAACCAAAATTGCAAGGTGTTAGCGGGAAGAACACTGTAGGCAGGTGGTGTTTATACATCAGTTGCTCATAAGTTACACTTGGGATTGCCTAAAAGTGGTTACTACAGGCAGGTGGTCTTTATATAGAAGTGGTCACTAACAAATAACATTTCTTTCTTTCACAACGCTTGAGCATTGGTACACTCACTGATAAAAAATCAACATATCTACTACTCTGTGGTATCCTATAGTGCTTTCGTGCCAGCTCTGAGGGGCAGTAATGTTTCATCACAATAAACTTGCATGTCCTATAGCTAATAATATTATAGTCACAAAATATCTAGAAAATGTCAGTGTTCTTGTAAATAAAAGAAATTACTAACCTGAGCAATTTTAAAATATGCATATTGTTCTGGCAAAGAGATTCATTAGTTTTACTGGCTCCAACAATGTCTCCAATAAATGAAGGCCAGTTCTTTGGCCACTCCTGTTTCAGAATCTGTACTAATATCATGTTCAGCTTTCCCAGATAAACCTTTTCTTTCTGATGGGAAGAATGGGAACACATGGTAAAAAAGGTGAATATAATTATAATAACAATAGGACAATTGACCTGGTCAGCAACATTTCTAAAGTGGTCATAAATGGCGGTTGGGGCAACCACCGCAGCAAGATCCCTGGTACCATATTCATTCTGTAAGTTGAATTACCTGTTTATGGCAACATCTCATCACATGCTGAATTTATAAATCCATGTTTATGTTTTTGCTTTCTTAATACATGTAACACCATTCGAGTGTTGTGCATTGTTTCTATTCACATGTTTGAAATCACCATTGACATATCATAGTTAAACCCAATTTAATAATTCATATGCTAAAAAATTTAAACTAATTTATTTTTTACCTTTATCATTGTAGATGAAAAGCAAGATATGTAAGCGGAAAATATCTGTCCTTGTTTGTCGTTATTGGCTCAGTCATAAATAAAAAAAATAGGTGTGGTTATACCAATTTTAATCCAATTTCTTTCAAACTTGGATAATATATATTAACTGTTTGCCGTCTTGGCCAAGTTTGATTATGGCACATGTTCTATGTACATTTTTCAAGATATTTATTAAAATTCACTTAAAACTGTCTTGGCAGTTAAAATAACTCCAACAATTTATCTTCAAACTTGGAAGAAAGAAGTTGCATTGTTAGTTTGTTATCCATCCATACATTTGTTATTTAATCTAGGTTCTCAATGGACAAGGTTGTAACAGTTACGCTATGTTTATTATAGCATTTCAGCCATTGACACAAGACATTTGTGCTATAGTAAACAAAACTAAAACCATTCTGAAACAGAACTTGACTAATGTTTAAAGGAAAAGTCCAAGTCTAACAACATAATACTCCCAGATGAAAGAGCTTGGCAAATGCAAGAACATGCAATTTACAGCTTTTTCATGTCACTTTTCATTATCTAGATATTTACCTTTTCATTAATTTATAACAGAACTGAAAATATACATTTCTGTGTTGTTCTACTTAATGCTCAATTATATGTATACAATTTATCAATGTATTATATGGGTGATATATAACCTGTTGACCACAAAAAGGGGACAAAAAAGTATCATTCTACTTTTAACAATTAAAATAATGATTTTTATTGTTTTTACATTATTGGCTATATCTTCATTTTATGTGTATTTGTAAATTCTAATTTCCATTACTATAATTATATAAATGAGTAATATTGCACACTGATAATTTGAAAAAAAAAATGCATCAGTATTTCTCACGTTATAGATGAATACATTTTCTCAATTTTTCACAACAGTGGGTATGATGTCACACTTTACCCACAAACTTTTGCTGGAGAATCAAGACTTGAGTTCCCTTTAAAATGTGTGTAAACTAAGTGCAAGCACACAAAAGTCCTAACAGGGACTAACTATTGTCCAAGTTGTGGAATGCTTACGGGATATGCACACTATAATTCTAAATACCAACCTCTAAATTCTCAGAATCTGAAGAAATTCTGATTATGAGTCCAACAGTATATTTTTTAATTCCCTCACACTGACTCCTTGGTAAAACTTTCCATCTTGATTTAATGACAGTCTCCAAGATTTGCAGAGCATAATACTAGGAACAAAACGAACATAGCAAGTATTTTAATCAGCTGAAAACATAAAAAAGAATATCAATTGAAGTATAGTTTATATGAATATAAAGATCAGTAACTATCTGGTGAAAAAAATACCTGCCACCTATTCATTAACTCTCTAATCAAATCGAGTGTCATTTTTAGTCAGAAAAGGCAAAAAAAATGCTTTGACCAATTTGTACAAAATTAACTACAGAGGTAGATCACTAAGGGACGAAGTCAAAAGATCGATGTTGGATAAAAAACTTATTTCCTTTAGTTTGGGGGTGGGGGGTTTTGACCTCAAAAAGTTTCCATCCTACAAAAACGATTTTATTTTTTAATGAAGTCAAAAAAATCTTGGAGTATTTGTAGTTCGTTTTTTTTTCTATCCAATCCTGGACAGATTAACCGAAAAGGAAAAAAAACACATCCAAGACGAGAAAATGGTTTGGTTCGAGCGTAATCTGTGCGTCAAATGAGGTGCATTTGTAACATCTTTTTACACCCACCCGACAACCAACTTCTATGCCATACTACTGTTCGATTATCAATTTGTATTTAATGGTGAATGTAGTCTGACGCCATGACCAATATTTATCAATTAAGTTTCAGTGGGGGGTAGGGGGGTTTGGAAAAAAACTAAAGGAATTAATTTTTTTATCCGACATCGATCTTTTGACGTTGTCACTAAAGCATACAATGTAAAGCATGTCAATTTTTGGTTTGGATGAATGAGCTTTCTGGGTCAAAAAGTGTTATTTTCACTTATTTCAACCCAAAAAGACACTCTTAATAGACATCAAATTGATGTAAATAGAGCACATTGTTTTGTTTTTTTGCTATCAGTACATTGTAGTCTACACATCCAAACATTTTCTCCATTAGTATTGGATAGTAAAAATAAGTAATGTTATAATGATCCTGCATACAATAAATGTTATTGGCGCTTCTATTAGAGCAAATACGGTAATCACATATTCACAGACTTTAATACAATTAATATTATAGAGTTCTATATTTCACATATTACAAGCCTAGATAAAGTAGAATAGAAAAAAAAAAGTTGCATAGTTTCTGCAACATTCCAACACCAGATGTGTTTCAGCTCAGCATCAGTCACAAAGAAATTTTAATAGATTAAACAATGAAGCACCGTTTTGATGCTAGAGAGCAAAAAGGTTACACAAGTTCAGTATTCAATACCAGTAGAATATATTTATTTGTTCATCCACTGAATAGAGAACAAATTAGTACATACTTTAGTTTGCTGATTCTGTGAATATTCAAGTATTGTGTCAACTCTCGTCCAGGCATCTGGGTGTTCCTTCAAAGTTGTCAGAACTTCCTGTGCCATTCGTTGCTGAAAGTGAAAGAAGAATGTTTGTAATGATTGAGGCCTGAGACAACACTGCAACATATATTTTTTAATGTGACTTTAATCTGATAATACTGATGTCAAAAATAATACGGTTATCAAGATATTTGAAAAATTGTACAAATTAGGAAATTAATCTGATGAAATCTGATTAGCAGTACAAGTAATAATATGTGAATATATAAAAATTGGCTAACTTAGGGAAGTATACATGCTTTCAACCCTAAACTAATCACATCTAATGAAGCACCTACATAAAGTATCAAGTTTCAGTAAAACACGAGTGATTTTTGAGGTATGGGTGAAAAAGTTGAAACGAATTATAAGTAAATTTTATGCATGGATTTCAAAATGAAACTCATCAGTTCTGTGCATTGACTGGTGGCATCTATGTACCAAGTTTCATTTAAACATGGTTGGTTCTTGGCAATTGTTTGAAAAAATGAAAAGTTACTATAACTATAAAGCAATTTAGGTAAATAGTACACAAGGCTCAAAGTTCACAGAGACCATGAAGGCAATTTCCTCAATGTTCCACCTAAATGCCTTGACTGTCCAAGTCCAAGGCATTTTTTGAAATTTTGGCATTGAAACTGGATGCCCTCGGAATACTGAAATTCTAGCCAAGATTATGGACAGATTTCAACCCCAAACTAATCTCATCTGTAATGAGTTTGGTGTGACCATGTGTCTGTATAAGCAAAATCTTGAAAATTTCTGACATTAGTATTTTTAGGACCATATCTATAAATATTAAATAGGTAATTTGCATTATTAGATTCCCTTTCTTATTATTAGATTTTACAGCACTGACAGATACATAACTGACTTCAGCCTAAATCAATAATATTGTCCAACATGTGGTCGATAATATATTGAGGGTGCTTGCATCAATTTCAAAGTTTTGATTAATCTTAGTAGGTCTATGGATGAGCAATAGAAATTTAGTCTGTATTCTACAGACATATTCTACACTGACTGAAACGTCAGGGCCTGATTTAACATAAATCAAAAATATCTTTGGTAGTATTTCTTGTACAATTGCATTCTATATGTTTTCTGATACAGTTGCCATTGGTTTAGAGATTATTATTATTACCTAATAATGAGTTGCAAGAAAAAGCCACTCAACTCGCTCACAATATTACCAAAGAATAACATAGTAAAATTGTACAGAAAAAAAAATATGGTGGGTCTCTGCCTTAAAAAAAAAATCAGTGGTATTTCAGCTTTCGATTTACATGTATAAGTGTTAACCTTATCTGTTTGGTGCCTCCATGTTACCAACTGAAATGTTGACAGGAAACGAATTCCTTTACCTTTGCTAAAGGTAGTTAAAAAAAACACACTGTTAATTTATTGCTGCTAATTTTACTTTAAATTAGGTTCATACATGTAATTAAATCACACTGATAACTGTCAATGTAAACGATAAGAAAAAATATTCATTGAAAAGATCCAGTGAAAGTAAAAGGTTGTCGGCATGGTGAATTGCAAGTATTATTTAGCGTACGTACATGTATTCAGCAAACATTCTTTATTTTTATATTTATATTGTAATTATTTTCAGTAATTTTAAAAATCGCAAGTTGGGTGTTGCTTAAATAAACTGTCAATCCCTCGCTCATTTTAGTCAGTTGTACCTGTTACAAAAATGGATTATAGACATAACAGTCGTCGTACCCTGTCATTTTCAAATTGCAGTTGAAAAAGTGATTCGCTCAAGGAAGGCACTTTTGATTTGACAAAGTCCATCAAACCGCTATAATCAAGTTTTCCGTCCGTGTAAATGAACAGCCCATTCATGTACAGTAGTTTGTCAACAGGCTAATTTGCATCTAAATATTATAAGTACATGAATGTCATTGATGAGTGAAGTACTATGCACTAAGTACTGAGTCAAGTGCATTAAATACCCAATAAAACTGAATGACATTTGTACTAAAAATTAACAAATACCACATACCTGACTACCTTCACCAGTGTAGAGACAGACAACTACATTATCTAATAAATTAATATCTAGTTTCTGGTTGAAATCCAGCAACTGTGAAACTGTCTGTTCTGTCAGTGCAGTTGCCATATTTGTTGGATTTCTCATTTGGTTGACTGGGACGGACACTAGGTTTTCCCTGAAATAGAATAACAATGTAATAATCCACAAAATTTGTCGTATTATCAAAAACAATCAAGTCAAAAATGTGACATGCAGTACTACATTTATGGTAGAACACAGTAAATAAGTTTTGAATTAATCTTGACTCCACCAAATCATAATCTAAAAGCAATGGAAACTTAGGTCCAGCTACATCAAACTAGCCTCAACTGGATGGTCTGATAACCTAGTTCTTTTTCACATAATGAGATAGTGACCTACTAACAAGACCTGTTAGAAACATGCACATGATATCACTTGGCTCAAAATAGGTTCATTTGGGTTACAAATCATCCAAAGATGGTTCGTTTTCCAAGATTATCTATACTTAAGGGGGAAGTACATGCTTTCTATTACTACATTAAAGTGACATAGGTAATCTATTATCATGTTAATATTACGGTGACTGTTAAGAGACCTCAAGTAAGTCACCACTTGCATAAACAATAAATACTGTATTTGCAAGCATAATAAGGTTTAATTTAACATTAAAGACAAACTTGCATTACCAAAACAAGTCAATAAACAAGGACACCTTATTTTTTTCATTTTACACTCTTGGTGTATTTATACTGTACTATCAAGAGCACCCAATTACCATAAGGATCCAACTTTATTTGGTCGCACTAGATCTGGATAAGACCGGTTGGACACAACCACGGAACATAGAATGAATATGACACCAACACTGTGTTTTTGTTGTTGTTTATTGCCATTCTAATAGAAAAAATTACACTACTAACTAGTTTAATACACGAAATTTAGGCAAACAATAAAATAAATTCAACATTCAAGTATCATGAAGCTAAGTGTCTGTCAACCTTTAATTCCACGCTCAAAAATATTGTGAAAAACACAATACAGTAATTTCACAACAAGAAACAAGGACCAACAACTGGGTGAAGCAGACGTTCATTAATCGTGGTACACTCAGTACGCATGTGTGGAACAATCAACAACATGCCTAACAGCCATGAGGCAGAATATGAATCAACAAACTCGTAGAGCAAGCAGGAGACGTGCATTTGGCTAAGAGTGCCACCTTACCTCGAAGTCTAATCCTTGAAAGCGGTGGCGACGAAAATAAAGCATTAAATCATAGAAAGAGTCGCGAAGAAGCACACTTGTCTGACCAGTTTCGCGATATTCCAAAACACGACACCCAGTCTGGCTATGTATTTGTATATGGTCAGCTCGAAACCCGGAAGTGACCGTGTTCAAATCTATGGCAGCCTAATATACATGTGCCGGGAAATGTGTGAATTCAGCAAATTTTGAACCAAAACGACTAAGAAGCTGCCAAATATCGACAGTACCTTTTATTCCACCTTTTCGTTTGTAAGCGTGATGGAAAATTTTGGCTTTTTTTCTGGTTTTCTGAACCGGTTAGAACCAGTTCGTGTTGTTTCCGAAAACATCCGAAGCCTGCCGAAACATAATGAACGAGCATAAACCTCGGTGAGGGGGCCTTTACAAAATATTGAGACTGTACATGTACGACGTGTTATGCAATACAATTTACAATACGAGAGAGATATTTCCTACTATTTACTTGTTATTTACAGTTTATAAAATTTACGTCTAATTAAATATCAACAAAGATGTGTTAATTGTGTAAATTCCGCAATTAATTAATTTATCTTAAGCACAATCCCTGAAAAAATTGTGACTCTGACCACAGTCACAGTAGGAACTGTGCGCACACTGATAATATTAAAAACATTATTTTATTATTCTTATTTTCACCGAGTCGTGAAGATACATAGACGCGAATAATAGCGTACATATATATGAAGAAAACAAATCCCTACAAAATCATGCATAACGATGGTGATTGGCTAGCCTGATCACCTATTGTCTATAATTGTGAAATATCCGCCAAGTAATGTAAGCCTTACGTAAATTGAAATATGGATAAATAAGCAAACAAATAATAATAGGTAAGTTAATGTTGTCTACGGAGTTAAAGTGATATCGAAACGTATTTATGAAGAAAGTAATGGTTTTACACGTTTGATAACGATATTTATTTTCTTGTTAAATATTCATCCGCACAGTGACATGGTTGGCGAACACGACGCTGGGATGGCGGACACACCATAATACTTCTCTTCAAGGTAGACCATAATAATTTCTATTTCCCGCGAAGTTTTGGATTTGTTTCAGCTGGTTTGTGTGGTATTAGCCTGTGTATGTATGTGTGACACATACAAGGGGAAATCTAAAACCGCTAAACATAAATCAATAGACTCCCTGATTGTACGGTGGTATTTATTGGTCGTCGCCGCCACATTTTAATTTGGCTCACATATATCCCTTTAAATATTATACTATATCTTAAGCCGAAAATATAATAATATAAAATTAGAATGCTTCATATTTTTAGTGTTTTTATCATCAAATATATTTCCGTAACTACTACTTCCGTGATATTAATAGTCTTTGTTTTCCTATTGTATGTTCATGGTGAATGTTTTGACCACGGTTTTGACATTGATCAGTTCATGTGAAATTGAATTTACTATAAATTGACGTAATTGACAAGAACTACATCTGTGTGGAATGTTTGCACAATATCGTACAACTTTGAATGTAAACAAATTTTAATTAGGGGTATATATTTTCACTGTAAATACATACTGATTTAAAATTATGCACTGGATAAACATGTTTTGGTGTGGTTAGGGTAGCCTGACGAGGTTGGCGTTAGTTACTGTGCCCTCGCATAAACCACACCTGACACAATGCTGTAGTTTTCTGCTATCACCGACAAGATCTTGTCAACACCAATCAGATAATAATAATAATAATAACTTTATTGCATCCTTAGAAATACAATGTTTCTATCAGTTGATAGCAATAAAGATTAGTTGTGATAACTACTACTACAAAAAGAAAATTAGTTGTTAATAGGATAAAGCAAGGGTTGCATATCAAATGGCATTTTCATTCCTTGATTGAAATTGCCAATCTTTTTTTATTATTGCATCATCTTTTGAAGTCATCAAGAACTTAAATTTCTGGAGATCATCCTGCGTTTCTTCTGGTAATGTAATGTCTTGAATGATTTGTTGGCGTATTACTTTATATTGTGGACATATCATGATAAAGTGCTGTTCATCTTCTATTTTATTCTGTGTACATTGTTTGCAAATTCTATTTTCAGGCGGTATTTTTGGTTGCATATGCCTCCCTTTTTCTATTGCTAAATTGTGATTACTAGTTCGAAATTTTGTCATTGAAATTCTTTGCTTCAAATTCAACACATCCAAGTACTTTTCAAAATTATAAGATAGCAGAAGCTGTTGATTATGACAGCCATTATACAAATGTTCACCCCAACAGAGGTGGACATGTACAGTTTTAGTGAACCAAAGAGCTCATTGAGGCTCAGAGGGCCACTAAAGCTGTATGTCCATTGCTGTATACTGAATATCTCTTAAAACAGAAATTGTGGCACTCATTATTATGCATGGCAATCTACAGGCACCTTTGTAGAGCTGAATGCAATTATATGCATGTATGAACACAAATATACGAATATACAAGTTCTCATCACACATTTGGGATTACACATCCTTTGGCTTTAGTTATATTTAGCCCTGTTTTAATTTCTGATCACCATGAATGCCATCGAAAACCCTATATACAAGCTGGAGTCAAAATTAAAAATTTAGCTGAAGTTAGAACAGAAACATTGTATCCAGTCCTTATGTCTTGCAGGGAAGACACTTTGGTTATTTTATCAACTTGGTATGGAATGTCTCATTTACTGATGGCACCAAGAGTTATTTTTTGGTGGCTCGTTTAAGCCACGTCTGATTTGCGCAGAGTCTATGAGCAAAATAACTTTATTTCTGCCATCATAATTAATTGTAATCGGATTCAAACTTGATTTCTTGATTGCATGCCAAGTGCTGTGATGCTTGGTTGGCAGAGCTACTATGGCTACTCAATAGCAAAACCTAATGAATTGTATTTAAAATTACTGAAAATAAGTGGGACCAATCATGACACAGTAACTAATTGGAATCAACTAAACTGGCATACAAATCAAGAAGAGTGTTCTGAATCTATGTTGCTCTGTCATTATTGAATGTAGTAAATGGAAATTTTTTTGAAAATGTGAATGAAAAAGATAGAAGTTCAGGTTCAGTTGAAATCGTAGCTGGTACTATGTGTTGCAATATGCGATAGTAAGGCCCACTGATGTAAGGTGACATGTTTTGACAAAATTTGTGTATTAAAAATCGCTTGACAATAATGTTTTGTTTAAAAAGTTGCAGAACAAACAAAAAGAATACAAATTTAGATCGTTTTTTAACACAACATATAGAATGCATTTAAAATTTGTTTTAATTGAATTTAAGTGCATGAATTAGTAAGTCTGTGAATTCATAGTTTTTATACGGTTCCATGTGTAGATCAAACTACTGTATGAGAAAACCTTTGTTGACACTGGCAGTGGGCGTGAAAATAGTTGATTGTACAAACATTGTTGAGAAAAGGTGCTGAAACTAAACCCTGGGCGATGTTTTGGTTCTGGTGATCTCCCAAAATATGTCCCAGGGTGATCAGATAATACAGTATAAGTAGTATGTGAAAGGAAAAAGATCTATAAACTAAGATAATTGAAGCAAGTCATGGTGGCAGGCCAGTTGAGTGTTATTACTTGTTAGGCACATTATGAATATATAAATAAACAATGTGCATTTACAATGACTAAGATGAATTTCTGACATTGTGAACAACATACAGAATTTGTTTTACTCACAGAAAGTCCAGTATTTCATTGTCAGAACATCCTACCACAGTCACTCTACTAGGAGTGACTGTGATCCTACCCACTTATGGTCAGGGACAGTTCTGTCTACAATGAATACTAAGTGACTTTGTTTGCATTTACATTTACAAGTATCTACTGGGTTCGACAATATTTCTGAGTTGATGTTTGCACATTGAAAAAAAAAACAGATTAGAAAGTTGGTTTGCCAACTAAAATTAGTTTTAGTTGAAATAACAGTACCCTAACCTGCCCTGAACTTATAATTGTGTGTGGTCATGAATTCTCTGGTCACATTGTCATAACTACATGTACTTTGATGAAATATCTTGAATTCATAATCCATAATTATAATTGTTTCAACTATCATATTTGACTGAAATAAGTAAATATTTTGTTATTGATAATGTTTTACAGATGTCCTGTATGAATGGTTGTCCCACTGACAATGAAAACAGTCATCTTGAATCACTTAACTCATTACAGTCTTCTGAAAACATCAAACATTTCCGGTTTGTAAGCGAAAGCAGACTTACTTCAGATCAACCTGATGATGGAGTTGATCATTTAGGAGCAATTGGGAAAGTCATCAGTGATGGAAAGGAAGATAATTCTCTTGGTACTAAACAGGATGCTGTTGATGATGATGAAAAAATGTCTACAATCGATGAAAATACATTGATGCAAGCTATTGAACCACATGCTGGACTGTTACGTCTCTTGAGCTTACCAAATCCAGTGTCCCAGTCTCCTACTGCCAACAACACTGTACTTGTATTGAGCAATGTTGATAAGGGTGGTATTGAAGCTAATGTTATATTTGATACACAAAGGTTGAGATTACAGAATTTGGCCCAAGCCAGTCTTATTTCAGCCACACAAGAGAGTATAGCTAAGGCATATGGTGATGAGGAACCAGTTTCACCTGTAGGTAACTCGTATACTGTGCAGAAAACAGAAAGTGGTGAGTAAGCCTTACAAACAATTATAATTTTGGCACTTGTATCTGGGAAAAAAATTGTTTTCATCACTCCAATTAAAGATAGATATAGAGATACCAGAATGATAATGGAGACATCAACAGCAAAGTTTTTGGTCACTTGCAATGATGTTTTTTTAACAATACAACAACATTGCCAGCAAACTTGCTGACAACGTATATCTGCTTTTCTGACATCTACCATGACAAATGATTCTCTTATTCAATTTTTGTTATATTTCAGGTGAAAGAATTTATGTGTGTCACTATGAAGGATGTGGTAGATCATTTAAAGCATCAAGCCACTTGAAATACCACAGGGAAACTCATGCTGGACAAAAAGTATTGAAGTGTTCATTTGACGGATGTGATAAAAGATTTTCCTGGCCAGCACATCGTAAATACCACATGAAAACACACCTGTAAGCTTCAATATTATATATAAAAATTGGGAGTCTTTGCAGTTAGTTTGACTGTGTGTGTGTGTGGGGGGGGGGGGTGTTTGTATGTATGTATATGTGTATGTGTGTCCTTCTGCTCCACTGATATCTCAAGTACCATACATCAGTTTTTGATGAAACTTGGTGCATACTGGTAGATGCTCTGGCCCAATGCACAGATTTGATAAAGTTTTTGTAAAATTACATGCACATTAATTACCTAATTTGCATGATAATAAGCCAATTTTTAGCTGTTCCATGACTGTTCCGTTGATATCTAAAGAACCACTCATTGGATTTTGATGAAACTTGGTATATAGATGCTCTGAACCTAGGTGCAGATTTGTTCAGTTTTTGGTAAAAATCCGTGCATATTAATTACCTAATTTGCATGATAATTAGCTAATATTTAGCTGTTCTATGACTGTTCCACTCATATCTAAACAACCACTCATTGGATTTTGATGAAACTTGGTACATAGATGCTCTGAACTAATGCTAGGTTTTGATTAGTTTTTGGTAAAAATTACTTAATTACCTAATTTGCATAATGATTAGTCAATTTTTGGTTTTTCCACTGATATCCCAAGTACTAATCATCACATTTCAATGAAACTTGGTACATATATGCCATAGGACACTGCACAGACCTGATAGTTTTTAGGGTAATATCAGTGCATATTAATTACCTAATTAATTAATTTTCAGCTTTCACACTGATTTCTCAAGTACTAATCATCACATTTCAATGAAACTTTGTACATGGATGCTGTAGACAGACCTGGATAATTGTTGGTTAAAATCTGTACATATTAATTACTAATTTGCATAATTAACCACTTTTAAGCTGTCAGACTGATATCTAAAGTACTAATTATTCCATTTCAATGAAACTTAGTACAAAGATGCTCTAGGACAAAGTACAAACCTAATTAGTTTGGGGTTAAAATCTGTTTATATTAATTCCCTAATTAGCATAATAATTCATAAGTTTTTTTGGTTCCAATCACATTTCAATAAAACTTGGTACATAGATGGTATGTTACATTGTGCAGACCTCATTAGTTTTACACTCAAATCTGTTCATATTAATTTTCTTTATTAGTTTTCAGCTTTTCCATCACTATCTCAATCAAGTACAAGTAATTTTGAATTATATTTAATACTCTCAGCACATGGGAGTTCTTTCTAAGCTTTCTTTGATTACTGGTTTTGTTAAAAGTGCAAAGGTTACACAGGTGCATGTAGATTTGTTTCATTCACTGTTAACTAACTGGTGGCGTTTTCTCAGTCATTCATGCGCCACTTTATTTCAAACTGGATATGAACATCACATGCAGGTTTGTTCCTTTCTAATAAACATTAGAAAGAGGAAAGCAAAAACAAATTGACTGCAACATCTAGTTTTGAAAGAAAGAAAAAATTAGTTGTGTTCCACTGTCTGCCCAGTGGTTCTAGATGTCAGTACTCACTTAACTGTGTTTCTTTGAATAATTGGTCTATAGGCAGCTTCTACATTTAAGGTAGAGATGCAGTTTATTTGTGAATTTCAATCAAAAATAGTTTTTTTCGTTTTTTATATAGATTTTTATCTAAAGAACATTCTGTGAAAATTTGACCAATGAATTCTTATTGGAACACCGTTAAAATTGCTGTTTATTTTCTATTTAAAAATAAAAAAACACTCGCACGTGGCAATGTTTATGTCCAATTGCCTAATTTGCATGAGTAACCAAATAACAGGACCTTTGATTGACAATATGCAAATCGAGATTGTACGGGTCATAGTTCATTCAATTCACGCATCATTCAGGAATGATTGAAATGTCCGAAAATGACGCCAAAATACACCTTAAAAGTCCTTTTTTTTTTCTAAATCCCATCCCGAATTTACGGCAGAATCTGGTCCCTCAAATAAGGGACACGTGAGCTTTGATTCTA